AAGAACCTATTGCTTGACCCTTATACAATTAGTCATCCGAAAAGTGTATATATAAATATATATTATATACAGAGGATAACAGAGATCGATTTGTACCCGAGAAAACCAAGCACGAAAAACCCGCAAAGGAAAGTGCGGAGAAACGGAGGGCGATTAGATCTGCATGTTATCAAAGATAAAGCGCACACACCGAATATTAGCAAAGATGAAGTAGTTTAGAACTTAGAAGTATAGAGTAGAAGATTCATTTTTTCACCTGTATATGAAGAAAGTAATGGGAAGTAGAATAAGGGAAGCTAATGCATTTGAATAGAAGATGAATGCGAAAGTTGTCATTCCAGTCGACATTGCGATTTTTCCTGCTACCATTAATCCCACCTGTGCTATCTGCACTACCACCATTCCCACATATGGAACTACTGCATTCTCCATCCCCATCTCTCTCTCTCTCTCTCTCTCTCTCTCTCTCTCTCTCTCTCTCTCTCTCTCTGAGTGTGTGTGTTTGTGTGTGTGTTGCAGAAAAATGCGTAAATGACCCGTTGATCGAGAGGTTTCACATGGTTTGCTTTAGTGAATTAAAAGGATCTTATCTACACAAATCCAAGAATGAAGTATAATTAATCTTCGATTAACAATTTTTTATTTATATAATATTGATTCAACATCAGTTGACACGTCAGCAGAGGGCAACGACGAGGAATCTGATGCAGCAGATATTACATTAATGTAATAGTAAAAATCACATCAGCCACTTGATCTAGACTTAATTATTAGATTAACCATACATTATTATACACTAAAATAGTGGTTAATAGTTATATATATATATATATATATATATATATATATATATATATATATATATATATATATATATATATATATATATATATATATATATATATATATATATATATATATATATATATATATATATATATATATATATATATATATATATATATATATATATATATATATATATATATATATATAAAGAATGACACCATTTCTATTCAATTTATCCGAAAAAAATCCATGAAGAAACCTATACGTGTTCGATATTCTCTTGCAACAGAGGTTCCTGTAAATTCGACGATGATTCGTCACTTCCCTTTTCTATCTTCCCTTCTTTAGATTTTCCCCACATCACCGCGTAGAAACCGATAATCAACACAAATGCCCCCACCAAACTAAGAATACGAAGAAGAAGAAGAAAAAAATTCAAGACAGTGATGGATAAATATTCTTGAAAAAAAAATTAAATTAAAGCGAATAATAATAATAATAGAATTACGAGAAATACCTTCCAATGTAGAGAACTTCTTTCATAAAGATAACACCGATAACAACAGCAACGACGAGCGTCAACGGCTTGAAAAGTGAAGCAAAGAACGGACCTTTCCTCCAAATGCACCATGCGGTAACATATAGCCTAAATGCTATGTTCATAAGAGCCTGCATTCACAATTTGTGCTTAATATATATATATATATATATATATATATATATATATATATATGATATATCATTCACATAATAAATAATAATAGATGGTGGTATATATGA